GACTTGGTACAAAGTACTTTTGGCACCGTCAGAAATACCCCAAGAGTTAAAGTGGATCAACGAACCTCTCATAAACAAAAAGAGCACAGAAGTTGCTATTACTGTGGGAAGAGAGGACATATTCAAAGGAATTGCTCTCACCTACGATGGAAAAGGAACTATAATTGGATGGGTATGGGACGGATCAGCGACTCAAACCCCTCGGAAGCGGCCCGTGGTCGGGTACATGGAGGTTCTAATAGCGGAGTCGGAAGCAGCAGCAGTAGCAACGGGAATAGGTCGAGAGGTTCCTACCAAAGTCTCCAAGAGCGGATGAGACTTTCAAGGAGTCGGTTCGGTCCGTCGGCCTCAGCATCTTCTCACTCTCCCACCCATCACAGGTGGATTCGTAAATCCGATATATCATGCAATGTTACCTGTACGTCTGAGCAAACAAGTGGAGACGATGTTTGGTATTTGGATAGCGGGTGTTCAAAACACATGATAGAATGTCAAGAGTTATTGACAAATTGTGAAGTAGCACTCAAAAGCGGCAGTGTCACGTTTGGAGATAGAAAACAGGGGAAGATTATTGGCAGAGGGGCTCTTGAGTGTGATGGTTCCCTCAAATTGACAGATGTCAAGGTTGTACAGGGATTAAAAACCAACTTGATTAGCATTAGTCAACTATGCGATAATGGCATGAGAGTGAAGTTCACAAAGGATGCGTGTTTTGTGATTAGTGCGGATAACAAGTGTGTTTTAACTGGGCAAAGAACATCAAGCAATTGCTACACATGGGTTGACAATCAGATTTTCAGAAACTCTCTCAAAGATCCTAAGACACGGGCCTAGAATTGAGCAATCAAAAGTTCAGGTATGGTTTTGAATTTATGCTTATACATAGGGGGAGAATTGGCTCGGAAGGTATATGGTCATACACATAGGGGGAGAAATGACTCAAGAAAGGTGTATGGTTGAAGACACTATGGAATGATGCATGGTCGAAAATGTTGAGGATGACACCAAAGAGCCAAGTGGGTGATTGTATTGCAAGTGGATGAATGCTAAGGAATGTGTATAACCATAAAGTCAAAAAGGGAGAGAATGTTAATGCAAGGAAAGAGCTCCAAGAGAAGATAGAGAAACATATCAATATAAAGAAATGGAAGGAACAACCAGTAAAGGAATGACTTACAAGAGAAAAGAAAATATGTCATTGAAGAAAAATGGAAAGAGTAAACAAAAAGAATGAAGATAAAGAAAAGGAAAAACAAATAAGGTGCAATGAAATGGAAACTCTATGCACGAGGTTGAGCATAAATATAGAGTCGTGCACAAGAAGAGAAATCACCCAAGCAGAGAGAAAGTGTTTGAGTCGTGAAAGCTTTGGGTATAAACATATTTGTATGGAAAACATGGGTGAGTGATACTTGAGAGAGAGTGAAGTGTATCTGAGGGGGAACCTTCAAATAACAGGTGAACCGTTCAAAGGATCTAAACGAGTTTAGGGTTACACGGAGTGTGCGAGACACACATAGTGTATGAGTTAATAAAATTCATGTTGTAAGGGGGAACAAACTCAGGGAGAATTGTGTTCTTATGATGGATTAGGCTCGAACAAAAGGGAAGTTTTTTAAAAAGGTATCGTGTGAGTTTACTATTTCAGGATTGGTCCGACACATTGACATTACATTTACAATATCAGCTTATGGTTCCACATGCTGCGACGACTTGAGGAAATACGCCAAAAAAAATTTAAAAAAAAAAAGTGTTCGTAACAAATGGGGGACAATGAAAATCCACATTATTTTTATAATGATTGCAAATGAATTGTTGGGCTTAGACATGTTGCTTGGGTCCTCCTCTCTCTCTGGGCCTCTTATTAATACCCAATTTAATTATGCCCATTTTTCTTGCATGTAAATTTTTTTTTTTTGTATAACATGCCGCAAAATAATAACTAGTTATAGAGAATTTTATTTTGAAGTTGAAAAATAGGATTTCTTGGCGGCGATTGAGATGGAAAGAGATTAGGGTTTTGAACGATTTTACTTTGATGAGGTTCCGATACTACTAGTCTAATACACTAAGCTTTGTTGTATATTATTGTGCGTTTTTCATCTCTAAACCAATATATACATAAATTTTTTATATTACAAAAATATTTTAATAATATTTACATATACGTGTGTGTATATATATTTATAAATTGGTATGTTGTAGTGTGTCATACAATTTATTATTGCCGATTTAATAAATCTTGGGTTTGTTGAGCGAAAACAAAAGCCTAACAAAACTGATGTTTCAGCAAGATTTGGATTGTGTATGATGTAACCCTGTATTAATTAGCCACTTGATTTGAATTGTTTTTTCAAGGCCTTTTCGTAAAAAAACAGAGAATTTAAATATACAAAATTCTGCGTGAAAATAATATAAAATCGAAACCAAATTTATCAAAAAAAAAACAATCAAAATCTAGAACATGTATCACCGACGGAAGGAGAGGAAAAAATCTCGTTAAAGATTCGTTAAAATAAATAGTTTTCAGGAACAACCCAATAAATTAAATTAATTAAATCAGTGGTTGCTTTGTAAAGGGTGGGATTCGGCAATGCTTAAATGAGGGTACACCATCTACAAAGGAACACGCGAAACAGAGGAACAACCCACCGGAGCTCATGTGCGTGTGAATCGCACGTGTGAGAAGTGTCGGTAGCTTGAACTCAGACAAACTAAAGTGAAAAAGTCAAAAAGGCAGAGTGACTGCGACATTTTCCCTTTTTCTTTTTTATAAAAGAAAATGTGGTTCGTTTAGTTATATTATATGGTATTTATAAAATAAAATACCACCACGTTGTTTTTCTCTTATTACAAAAGGAGTGAAAAAAAAAAACTATAATTTCACAATGAATAAAACCTTTACCCCTTAACCCAAAAAAAAAAAGTTGTTCCAATTTGTTTTTGAGACGCCAATGTGCGTTTATCGGAAGAATGACTAATAACTGCCATTTATTATGTATTGTTCACATGTTGGTGATGAATATATCAGTATGAAACATATATGTTTAATTATATTATATTTGGATGATAAAATTTAAGTATATTTTTAATTTCATTAAATATTTATATATTAATCTTTTAAAGATTATAATTTTATAGTTTGATTTGAAAATATATCTAATTTAGTAATTATTATTATAAAAATTAACGTTTAATATTAATCTAACAGTAAAAAATTCTAAAAATGATACGTATATAAGATTATTCATATATTTTCATACCAAGTTTACGTTTGATGGGAAAACAAATTTATTTTTTGAGAATAGTAATTTGATCAATACGTACATATCATATTCATATATTTATGTGTGTGTGTGTGTTATAAGAATGTGACTGATACATCACACGACGAAGGGACAAACTCCCACGAGATCGAAGCTCAAAAGTGTGCTGTAGTCGTTCTGCAGAAAAAATAAATGAATATTTGTATAAAATAGTTTAAAATTATAAATTACTTAATTTATGTAACATTTTCAATTAAGTATCTACTAATCCGAGAAACGATAAATTAATATAATGAATTTGATATTAAAGTTTATAGGACTGAACCATGAAAAATCCTATGGAATTTTAAATATTAAAGTATTTTTTTATATAATAAATAAAGTTTTATAGTAATATATAAAGTTTAATAGTATAAACTTAATCTCATTAATTTGCACAAAAAACTATATAAATACGATAAGACCCTGCTTAATTAATAATAAGATTTAAATTACCGACTTCAGAATTAGTTAAAGTTTTGGTTTAGAATACTAGGTTAATAAAAAAACTCAAATTATATGCGAATTGGGAAATAAATAAGCGAGGGATCCACCCTCTTTGTTACAAACTACATTAATTAAATATTAGATCATTAATCTCCACAAAATAATTTCAACAATTCAAAACTACATTAATTAGTTTAATTTAATCCATTATAAATTATTTAGCATTTTTGCCGTCGAGGAGGAGGAAGAAAATGTATACAGCGCATCGTGTCGGTATACTAAGCGCCTAGTGATTCACGAGTCAATGATTTGAATCCACGTAAATTTCCTAAAATGCCCTACGTTCACACGTGTAAGAAGTATATTTGTCGACACTGAGAGGTTTACCTATACCTCAACGTACTGAAACATTCCCTTGGAGCCAACTTTTCGTTGCCTTGTGTGAATTGTATTCGTTAGCTGCCCTTTCCTTTTCTGTTCTTAATCATAAAATTATCGTATAATTATTAATATATTATAGTATATTACTATATTTCACATAATTCTCTCTGTATTTATCATAAATAAATAAATATCTGAATTAGGATAAAATAACGTACAGTATTTGAGTTTGTTTTAATTTCCATTTTAAAAGGAAAATACAACTAATCATAATTCAATAAGTTACTACTAATGCACCGAAATTAGATGACGATAATAAAGCAAAAAAAAAACAAATAAGAGCGATTCTTTTCTTTTTCCATTATTAGATGATTAGGTCCAGAGCATATGCTATCATTGCTATGTATAGTAACGACATATCATTAGGAGCAGTTAACCATATGCATTGGTATTTGGTGAGTCCATTTAATTAATTAGTAATTGCATTTCTTTTGGATTAGTTTATTTTTGTGTCCACGTTTAGGTTCAATACCAAATATATTGTCTCTATATTAAGAAATATTTTGAATCTAAAAAGTATTATTTGTAAAGGGTAAAAACAAATTTTTTTTAGTCGAAGAAACAACTATTATTTTTGTTGAATTATAATATATAATAATTTGAGCGATATTGAACGCAAGGAAAGTTTGATGCTTACATTCAACCAATGAACAACCTAAATATATTGACGACAAATTAAAGAAAAATAAAAGGAGAATATATATATACATATATTACGTGTGTGTGTAATGACGACAAAATGTAAATATATGTGGTATATATATGTGTGTGTATGTAAGCTTTTATATTACATATATTTGTGATGAAGTCACAGGCACAGCAGCTCACTTAGCTGGCCAATTTTATTTTTTTTGGTACGATTCTTATTATTATTTTCTTTTCTTTTATTTTTTCTCCCACGGGTTCTCTGAAACGAGAAGCTCGAATAGAGAATTCGGGATGGTACTCTGAGATTCTATCTATTTTCTCGCTAATAAAACTCATTTCCTAACCGATTTTCTCGGGAAAAAGATCCCGTTTCCCGTGGAAAACCGTGGTTGATGCAAAGGGATTAGCTCCTAAGTCAATCCAGATTCTTCAACTGCTTGGATTTTTGCTTCTGGGTATTGCCCTTACTGTTCAGAGCTCGGAGAGGAAGAACAGAGGATTCATTTTTCAAGAGAAAGTTGGGAAATTTTCTTTCGGTTTCCCGGGAAACAGAGAGAAGGAAAGGGGGAAAAGGAAGAATTTTTCCTACGGTTTCTGGATCGAAGGAGGTCTTCTGATCTTTCAGGGCACACGTGGCGAACTGGGTTTGAATCGTTTTTGTCCTTGCTTTTGTTTAGACAGAGAGACCTTGGAACATCAACACTCTGTTCTCCAATTGCTATGTCTGATTTCTGATTCAGATCCCTCAGAAGATCTACAGATCAACAAGGAAATAAAATTTTTTGCTGTTTTTCTCTCCCTTAAGAGCTAAAGAAGATGCTCAAGATGAGGACTAAACCCACGACGCTTCCTCCGGCGTTGACCCACGGCGGCGGCGGAGGAGATTCCGTCGGGCACGAGTGGGAAATGAGGCCAGGAGGTATGTTGGTACAGAAACGGAAGCCGGATTCCGACCAGGCCGGAGCTCCGCGGCCGACTATCAGGGTACGGATCAAGTACGGTTCGGTGTACCATGAGATCAATATAAGCCCTCAAGCTACATTTGGTACGTACTCTCCAAATTTCATCTGTTCCAACCGTAATCGAAATCCCCTGTTGTAAAGGTTGAATTCCCTTGGCTTCGGCATTGGAACTTTGTGATTAGAATCTTAATAAGGATGTTGGATTGGTAAAAAAATATGATGGCAGGGGAATTGAAGAAGATGTTGAGTGGACCGACGGGGTTACACCACCAGGATCAGAAAATATTGTACAAAGACAAGGAGATGGATTCGAAGGCCTTTCTCGATATTGCAGGGATTAAGAACAAGTCCAAAATGGTACTGATCGAGGATCCGATTAGCCACGAGAAGCGTTTGCTGGATACGAGGAGGAAGGCGAAGAGCGAGAAGGCTTCGAAAGCTGTATCAAGTATCGGCCTGGAGCTCGACAGGCTCGCTGGCCGGGTATTGCCTTTAGATCCATTCGCCTTCCGGAGTATCGTTGTTTCGGTGTTTTTGATGGTACATTGTTTCGATTTTGTGTAGGTTTCGGCTCTGGAGACAGTGATTGGGAAAGGAGGGAGGGTTGTGGAGAAAGACTTGGTGAATCTGATCGAATTGCTGATGAACGAGCTGCTCAAGTTGGAGGGTATCGTGGCCGATGGAGATGTGAAGTCGCAAAGAAATATGCAGGTAATATGTATGTATGTATGTATGTGTATATATATATTGTTTTATGTGACTATGTTTAGATTATGATCCGGAGGATTGTAGATTAGTGTGTTAAAACGTTTGTATCGCTCTTTGTGAAAAAGGCGAGGAGAGTGCAGAAATATGTCGAGACACTCGACGTGCTGAAGATCAAGAACTCGATTCCTAACGGCGATGGAGGCGAAACCCAGATGAAAGCTCGGAAGCAGAGATTGGATCCGATCCAAGAACTCGATGCAAAGCCGAGACAGGAGACAACAGCTCGGGAGCCGATATTATCGCTCATTGACATGCCTATTTACGAAAACAAGAAGCAAGAGATTCAAGAACAAGAGGCATTTCAGCAGAAGCAGAAGCCGAGGAACTCCAATTCGGGTTCGGGTTTGGGGCCATTTTCGGTGACGACCGCGAAATGGGAGACGTTTGATGGTAGGGCGCCTCAAACGTCATCCGCATTATCGAACACTGCCACAGGTCATGCCGTACCGGCAAGGTTCAACTGGGAATTCTTCGACTGAATTCCCGATCCCTGAAACGTTTCCCTTCCGTTTTTATTTCTCGTGTGGATGTGTTTGTCGTGTCTGTTCCCCTCTCTTTCATTCTTTCGATGTACTTAGATTCTTGTCGGTGTCAGATCCTCATCCTTTTTTTTTACGTTGTTTTTCGATCTGGTGGAAGCCGGGAAATAAACAGATAGTGATGGTTACCGAATGGTGAGATTCATGTGTTTTGATTCTTGTAAGCGTCTCGTTACATTGTTACACCAAAAAAACAAATCAGTGTTTACATTCTTATACAATGGACTGAAACCTTCGGCTCTGTGTTTGTAAACCCTAATATCTCTTTGTCAATGTAATGGAAGGAGTCCGATATCGGAATCTTACCTGCGATGTTACGACCCCATGCATGCAAACCCTAAAAAAACACAGCGTGTAATAATTGAACAAAGTACCATAAAGATACCCAGTGTTTGGGGAGCTATTATTGTGATAACTTGATTGTACAAAAGTGGATTTTCAATTAAAAAAAATCTCAGGAAAAAGACGAATAATAATTACTCTAATCACCATCAAATCATCTTATAATTAATCGTGAATAAAGTTAATATATAAAGAGGGGGGACATCAAACCAATTAATAATCATTACCAAAATCAGGATATAGAATCTTAGATTTTGTTTTCTTTTTGCCATGTATTAGAATGACGATAAGATTTAAAATCATCTATTTCTTTTATAAACGAATATCTTAAAAGAAGATCTAAATCATCTATTTTGTGTCCCCGTTTCATTGGTTCTACTCAAGTTTGGGTAAAATCATATAATTTCACGTGTATTAGTGTGTGTAAATTTGCTGGAGAGAGTAACAGGAATTGCATATACGAAGACATTACAATTTTTTTTCAAAATGATATGTGAACTTTAGTATTATTTAAATTTACCGTCGTTTTTAACATTGTATAATTATAACTTTAGAAATAGTCGCGAAATACTAATCGTTGGACTTTCAAACAAAAAAAACAAGAGCAATAAATAGTTTGCAGTAAGCTAAATTATGTAAGGTGTTTGTATGGATAGAGAGGAAAGACGGGGTAATGAGATGTGTTGGGTCGAGGTTCAAACTAATCTCGGAATTAAGAACAAATCATGTCATTAGAATATACACTCCATTTCTCACCTTAAAACTCGAACTCGGAACGAAAGCGAAATTTCACCTGTTAATCTATGCAAGTTGGGTGATGAAAGACAGTTAGATTAATACACACAAAGCGAAATTTCCAGGAACATTCAACGGTTGTCGTGGTTCCACGAGAGGACTCGACAATAAGTATAGGTGTGGACCAACGAATTTACTATCGAATAATAAATACAACGAATGCTAAGAAAAAGTCAGAAGAAATTGTGGACGATTGGTCGTAACGAGCGAGAAAATTGTAGAAACAACGTCAAAGAAGCATTTTTTGGTTGAAATGAATATATATTGTTGTATTGGACTGTAAAATTTTAATACAGAGTATGAATGGGTAGATTTATTTACTCCTTTTTAACTTTATTATTAGTAGAGTAAAACCCTTAAAAAATCTCCAACTTGCAAAAATATATACAAATAAACCTTCAACTTGAAAAACTGTCATTCAATCCCCAAACTTATAACTTGTCACTGAATAAAACCTCGAACTTGCAAATTATTGCTCTAATAAATCTTTGACCGGTTTGACCACAATTTCAAACGATCGGAAATCCACGTATTGACGGATTGTTGATGTCATTTTTTAAACTAAAATTGATAACATATATAAGGTGACATCAGCAATCCGTGAATACATGGATTGCTGACCGCCTGAAATTGTGGTCAAACCGGTCAAAGGTTTATTAGAGCAATAATTTGCAAGTTCGAGGTTTTATTCAGTGACAAGTTACAAGTTCGGGGATTGAATGATAGTTTTTCAAGTTGAAGGTTTATTTGTATATATTTTTGCAAGTTGGAGGTTTTAGGGGTTTTACCCTTATTAGTATGTCGAGAACTCACAGGGGACAAAACAGAAGGAGAACATTGAGAGCGTTGGTAAAAAATATCCGAAAATCGGGTATATGCGATATCCTGATGTGGATACCGATTTTAAGATACTCGTATACATTTGAATCCAAATCTTAATCCGAATCTACGAATATCCGCAAATATGAATCCAAATCCAAGTAATAGATTTTTAATGCGGGTACATAAGAGCACCCGATGTTTTGCTATAAATAATTATAACATATATCTATATAATCCATACTTGGGTGGCCTAGTGGTGAGAGAACATGCAAAGCATGCTCTCACCCTAGGTTCAAACCCAAGCGTGGAGAAGAGCATTCACCTGGGTTTTTCCGGTCATCTGGGAGATGTAGTCGGATCTGGTGAACCTCTGGATTATCAAAAAACAAAAAACTATATCTATATAATATTTTCATAAAATACAATTATTTTTTATTATATAATCTCACATTTCTCAAGATTATCTAAAAAACTAAATTTATTATTATTTATATTTCATCATCTCTTTTTATCTTAATTTTTTTAGCGTAATTCATCTAACTTTATAATTATATCTTCATTTTTTAATTTTTCTACACAAATATTGTTGTTTTTTATTAAATAAATCTGTACCCGAATATATCCGAACATTATTCCGGATATTCGTACCATATATACTCGTAAACCTCAAATCTCGAATACAAATCTGAAAATAAAATACCCAAAACTTTTGAGTACGAATCCAAATATCCTAATTTTTCGGGTATCAGATCCATCTTCACCTCTGTTAGACAAAAAAAAAAGTTATTACAATGTGTGCAAGTATGTATGGTTTCGTGTGATTGATTTCACCAGAAGAAGTGAATGCGGAAGCAGATGGAACCACCTAACTATTTGCATAGAAATGAATGTGGATGTTACCAATTATTTTCGACGGACTTGGGTTTCGTTTTTAAAAAATGGCTCACAAGCCGAGAGCCACCAAACCCTAATTGTTTTTTTGTCCCTCATGATCTTGAAAAAACGCCAGAAGGAAAATAGATTCTTCCGCACGAAAGAGTTTTATCCTACTGAGTTCTAAAACAGTTTTATCCTGAGAAACTTCTAAACGAAACTGGCTTTTCCAGATGAAACAGTTTTATCCTCGAGTTTTTTAAAAATGTTATATAAAAATTAAACAATAAAATCGATGATATTTTTTGTAAAATTTCATACAGAAATATAATTTGCAAGTGGCAAAAAAAAAAAGCTTTCAATATCTCTCTAAAATTGACACATTTGGACAATTTTTCTCTCGATATCAACTAAAATAATGTTAAAAGAATCACAGTACAGACGCACCGGTTACAAACGTCATGAATCCTCGATTCTCCTTGTTGGATGGTTGTTCTCTTGATTCATTATGGAAAGCAATGTCCTTAATCTTGTAGATACGATTTTATCATATTCTCGAGACTAGAACGATAAATCCTTTGTACCAACCAACCTCGAACGCAATTTTGCACATGAATCTTTCGTATAATTGCAAAATCAATCCAAAGTTAACATATTTTTATATATAAATAACATCGATCCGCATAAATAAGCGTTCAAAACAGAGAGGAGTCACTAAAAGCATAATATTAAGACAGTAACTTAACATTGGATGAAACCAAACTACCCACAGACGCACACAGAGAGAGAGAGAGAGAGAGAGAGAGAGAGAGAGAGAGAGAGTCCCACAACTAGAAATACACCTCACTTCCAATTCCAACTTCATCATCTACGCTTCCGAATCTCTTCATTCACTCACTTGAATCATTCGTCAGCTGGAGACCTGCTGCAATAATAAACCATTACTACCATTATCCCACTTACAATACCTATGAATGTAACTGAGTGGCAAAAAACATTCAAGGAGGAGTTTCCATTGTTACTAACCTGCTGTACCTCTCGCGGTTAGCGTTTTCCCCACCATCAAATTCACGGGCCGAGCCAGGGCTTTCCACCTGACCATTCTCGGGGCTCGACCTCTCCCTCCCATTCGGGCTTCTGCTTCCATATGGGCTGTGGTCCCTGGCATCACCCTTCTCGGGGCTGAGCTTCTTCTCCCTCTTGTAGGGACTGCGGCTGTATTCACGCCCACCGCCATTCTCGGGGCTTCGGGCCCTTTCCCTCCTCCGAGGGCTTTCACTGCCTCTGCGCCGGTTGTCAGAACCAGGCCTGCCTCTCTTGTGAGGACTCAGGCCATAATCAGGACTTCCCCTTTCCTTCCTGTATGGACCGGGACTAGACCCTCTTCCATAGTCGGGGCTGCCTCTTTCTCTCCTGTAGGGACTAGGAGACCGTCTTCTCCTGTCGGGTGACCTATCACGCCGCCTTTCAGGGCTGTATCCGCTTCCTCTTACATCACCATCATTCACAGCATACTCCACTGATATCTCCTTATCCATCAGTTTACTGCCAAAAACATATGCATAAGTGTACGTGTAAGGAACAAAATATAAATGACATGCGTAGAAAAAAGCCAAACCTCATATTTGTAGCATCCAGGGCCCTGGTGGCATCCTCTTGCGACTCATATTGTATAAATGCAAAATTCCTTCTGATTCTGACATTAGCAATTTTGCCATATGGCTCAAAGTGTCTCTCCAAGTCCCGGGTCCTAGTTCTCTCCGCATCAAAGTTGATCACAAAGAGCGTTTTCGAAGGTCTCGTGCCCGATGAAGATCTTCTTGAACCGCCAGATCGTCTAGAACCTCCACGTTCATTCTACAACAAGAACATAAGCGTGTCCGTAATTTCTGTTCTCTTATTAGGCCAAAACTAGAAAGTAAAATTGAGAGATAAGTTGCCTAACCTTTGTCCACTCGACACGGAGTCTACGTCCCTTACGACCAAATTCAATGCGATCAAGTGCCCGGATTGCATCTTCAGCATCTCGTTTGTCTTCCATATAGATGAAAGCAAATCCTGAGCAGAGCAAATAAAACAGAAATATGAATACATAAACAATGATGAACGTAAACCGAGTTAAGAACTTCCAGCAAAAGGAATTTCCAACGCAAAGATTGTCTCCCTCCTTCAGCAGAGCATCAAATGACGTCATTACCTACTCGGAGAAGAATTTAAGAAAACCTTCCTACGACTTAAAAACTCTACGAACTAAGTGACCAGTGAAGCAGTTACAGACCTTGAATTATGGTATTAATATGTCAAGCAACAACAACTGAAAACGTGGAGGTCTCATGGAATGTCAATGGAAATAGTGTCTTTGCCACATTTAAACTGCTGCCTCGTGGTGAGGTGAGGAGAGGTATGTTTCTACCGAGAGACATGGCCAAGAGTGCAAAGTCCATGACGAATGAAATGCAATAAAGTCGGTAAAACGGAATGATAGAGCCATCGTGGATGGGTGACTCTTTTTTTTCGGACAAAGGGCATGAAGCTCCCCATTGGCAGGAAATGGATTTCCATATTGTCCATCCATGGCCGGGTGGGGTATGGACTTTCCAAGAAACATCCTGCGCCAAAGAAAATGTTGAGTACCGCAGATTTACGCTAAAAATTTATACGATTTTTCTCTTCTGAGACATTTTCTGAACATCCAGCAGGCTGCTTCACATGTCCAGGCAGGTGCTATCGGTTGAAGGGCCAATGTCATGAACCATGGACAGTTCCTCTATGCTTAGGTAAGATGCCAAGAACATCGTTCCAAAGGAAGAGCTTTCAGAGCCTTCACGCGGAACAACCGGAGTGAAGTTTGTAACATACATTTGACTTGCGCTCGTTCATCACATTGTCGTGGATTAAAAGACTTGAGGTTGCACGTTCATCCAAGTCAAACAAGGTAGGTAAAGTACAAGAAAGCCAGAGCAAAAGAGCAAGACTTACCGGTTTTCATATCCACTCTCTCAACCTTGCCATATCTTCTGAAAAGACGTTCCAGTTCACTCTCGCGTGCATCATACTCAAAGTTTCCACAAAAGACGGGCCTCATCTTGCCTGCATTCATGCAATGGAAAAATTACTACAAGGAATTATCAATATCCCATGATCATCAAAGCACAACAAATGTTTTGTACTAGAAGATCCCCATTAGCAAGAGCTAAGCTCCACGGGAATATATTATTGCCGTGGTTTCCTTTTATTCCTCGTGATTGTAATTGTAGGCACATTTAAGAGAGAGATGGCGGCGACAGTGGACATCCTGTTGCGACCACCGCCAGACCGAATTGTTTTGGGGTGGACAATGAAACGTGCAAGAAATTAAAGGGACTCAGCCAATTAACGGGTTCGGATCGGTTTTCAATCCGATTTTAAGTCTCGGTGAAAGGACGGGTTTCGTGATATTATTAGGAATAAGAGATTGCAGAAGGGGGAAAAATACAGAAGGAGATGCAGAGGAAAAAATTGTGAGAGCAGCGTAAGAAACGAAGAAGAAATACACATGTGATGGCAAAATGACATATTTGATCCTGAACTAAAATTCAATAAAAAAATCCTCAACTCCTTTTACCAAGTCAAGAATGCCTGCAAGACTTGGTAAAACGAGGTTGAGGATATTTTGCTGTATTTTCTTCAAGAGCAAATCTGTCTTTTTATCATTACATGTGTATTTAACCAAGGTTTCTCCTCTTTCTTTTTTCACGCGCTCAACTTCTTCCTTTTCTTCTTCCTCTTATTCTTCCTCTGTAATCTCTGTTGTTTCTAATAGAATCACGCCCCACATCCTCCCCGAGACGTAGGGTCAGATTTTCAATCCAATCTGATCTATTTAAACACTGTTTATTTATCTACTTTAGTTATGTAACCCTGGGATAGAGATTGGAGGCCATGAACCCACATTGAAGTCGGATCAAATCACAAAAACTCAGAATTTCCAACTCGACGGCCTATTCGAAACCATGAATCCCTAAAAACCAAAACTTCAAAACCCCCAGCATCGTAATCAAACAACCATAGAGCATGGGATCTAGCTAAAACGCATACCAGAAACCCCGGATCTGAAACAAATCAAAAGCGAGAACAAACAAAGACGAAGAAAGGAAAAAATTATATTTTTTCTCCCTGAATCTAAGCTTTTCCACAGCAAAAAATTCAGAAAACTCTCGTACCGATTTGTTCCCAGGAGCAGAAGAACGACACAAGCTAAGAAACAGACATCGGACCCAGTATACAGAGAACCAGAAACAAATCATTCCTCCATCACCATACCTGAAACTCAATTGATCGGAGGATCTCACCGACAAGCTGAAGCAGTCGAAACCCTAGAGCTCCTGATATTTGTTTACGTCTTCGAGATAATGACGCGGATACAATCCACTTGTGGAGATGTTACGAGGGAGATATTATTTAAGATTTTCGAATGGGACCCATAGTTTACATATTGTTGGCAGAATCACCCACCCTTTCTAATCTGTTCAAATTAAGCCCCAAATCTGTAAAGCCAAATTGCAAATTTGACCTGTGTAAACAGGGGTCTTTTAGACACAAAATAAACTTCACAGCCTCAAAACGAATTCCCTCTGGCCTCGAGGGGATACGATTTCTTCCATTCGATATGTTTTTGTGATTTTGTACGTTGAGTTCCCACTTGCGGTACATTATTAATGTTTAGTTTTTAAATTCAAAAATCGTAGTATGAAATTTACGAATTTGATTTTTTTTCATTTATATGAAATATTAAGCAATATATATAAGCGATAATTAAATATTTTCCGTAATGACAATATTCCAGCATTTGGACAGGAACAATGAACAAAAAAATAAGAAATAAGAAGATCTAGATGAGTAAAATGGGTTGGTTATGATCATATATGTTGATTTTGAGTTCGGATATAGTATATTTTTTAACGAGATGAAAATAGTATAAATAACACGATTTATTTCAGATAAAATCACATACACATACCTATCTTTTTAATTTGAAAAAAATACCAAAAAAATCTTATATTTCTCACACAAAAAAATTCTATACTTTTTTATTACCAAAAAAACTATATATATTTATACTAATTCACCAAAATATACATATACTTTATAAAAAATAGTAAATAAGTCCCTAAACGCAAACGTCAAAAAAATACGGCAAAAATCAGGTATAATATTATTTTAATAAATAAATAATCGAATCGAACCCGATCGATATATATCCGAACCGAATCTAGCCGATTAAAATAATATACCAGATTATATATGAATATTTCAAATCCAAAATAACCGAACCCGAAATAACCGAACTGAACTCGACCGATATATACTCGAACCGATTAAAATAATATACCAAATTGGATATGAATATTTCAAATTTGAAATAGTCGAACCCGAAATAACCGAACCAAACCCGATTGATATATACCCGAACTGATTAAAATAATATACCATATTAGATATGAATATTTCAAATTCGAAATAATCGAATTCGAAATAACCGAACCCAAAATAATCGATATGTATCTGAACCGAATCGAACCGATTAAAATAATATAACATATTAGATATGAATATTTCTAATCCGAAATAATCGAATCTGAAATAACCGTAAACTGAATAAATCTAACCCGAATTAACCGAGTTCGGTTATATTTTTTGAAATATCCACTATACGCTTTTTGATATAATCGGGTTCGGTTATTTCAGATTTGAAATATTCGTATATAATCTGATATATTATTTTAATCGATTTGATTCGGTTCGGATATATATCGATCCGGTTCGGTTGGATTACTAATATTCATATCTAATATGGTATACTATTTTATAAAATACATGTATATTTCGGCGAATAAGTATAATTATAGGTTTTTGACAATAAAAAAAAATATAAAGTTTTTATCGACATCTGAAAAATATAGGAGTTTTTGGCGATTTTTCCTTTTAGTTTTCACATAAAAAATATGACTTTTATTTGTTCAATTTCATTTTCATATTCAAAATAAAATAGAATTTTATAATACATATCATTTTTAAATCTAGGCACAAACATTAAAAAAAAATATACATGGCAAGCCCACTACTTAACAAGAGTTACTTTTCTATGGTTAAATAAAAATTATGTCCTTTTTTGTTTTAAAAATAAAAATACATACATATATATATACATACGCATATTCATACATATACTTATATATACATGCTTATACATATATATAGACATACATATACAAATTCATATATATATATATGAATGTGTGTGTATATATCTTTTTTATTTTTTAATTATTTTATTTTTAAATAAGAAAATGACATGGTTTTTTATATATGTATATATATGAATGTATGCGTATATGTGTATATATATGTTTTTTATTTATTTTTAATTAATTATTATTTTTAAATAAAAAATGGCTTGTCTTTTTATTTGGTGATGTAGAAGGACATGTCAATATGGTTAAAGAGGTGATTTGCCATATAGACTTTTAAAATGTAATGTCATCACTCAAATTTAAAAATGATATGGATTACAAAATTCGGATTTATTTCGAATACAAGAATGAAGTTAAGATTTTATTTAATAAAAAATAATGTCTAGATTTTTTTATGTCAAAATTGACAAATTCAATATTTTTTTTTATGTGATTTTCCTTTCATTTAACTTACTAATCAATTTACTATCACAAAAGAAGGACCATCTTTAGCATGTATATGTAAAGTGGTAGAATAGAGCCCCATATTTTTTTGAGGTCTCGTTTTTTAAAAATTAATTATTATAGTTTTAATTATACATAATCATAAAAAGAATGAAATAAATTTAAATTTAGAAAAATATCTTTACATTTATTTCCTTGGAAACATTTTAATCCAATAAAATATTTTTTAGATATAGTAATTATACATTATTATTATTATTATTATTATTATTAAAAAATAAATATAAAATTATAAAATTGATTATACTTCAAATTTTATTTTCATCACAAACTTATTTTAAATTCATATTCAAACTTAAATTTAATCTTTAAATTAATATCATAATTCCAAATATATATTAATAATGAATTAAAAAATTATTTTAAAAAACTTAAAATTGATTATATTTATTACAGAAATTCTAAATTTATAGATTTATTTGAAAAAATTGTTATCATTATCATTAATACATAAAAATATTATAAAATTCATTTATTATCATTAAAGAATTTTTATTACACAAATTATTAATTTTTAAAAATAATTAAATAATTTAAAAAATAATGTTTTTATTATACAAATTATATTTTTTATCAATTAATTTATAAATGAATAGTGCCCGAAAAAAATTGAGACGGCTCTCCCAAAACAAATACGAAACAGACAAATTATGTTCTAAATATGTAATTTCATTTTTTCAAAATATGTATATATTTTTTATGTAAAAAATATGTATATATTCAATTGAAATGCAACACAATACAAATAATTAAATTATTTAAATCCAACAAACAAGTTATAAAAAGGCTAGCAGAATTTTAATACGTCACAAACCATATATATGATGTACGGTGTAACAGAATTATATTCTCTTTTCGATATTTTAACACACTCAAATTGTTATAATCCAACAATTTCAGCATTTCTTCACACACACACACACACATATATATATATATATATATATGAGTTTACCTCTTTTTTCAAATTACTTTAAGAAGAAAATAAATAGGTTCAGGGTCGGCTTGCTTGCGAGGGATGAACCCATTTTACAGCCCTAGATTACAAGAAAACAAAAAAAAAAAAGGGATGAAAGAGGAGAAGAGAGAAAGCAAAAGACATGTCGGGCAAAAGGACCGGAAGTTGTCGAATGTGGTAATGTTTGAGGAACTTCCTTTTGAAGGAGAGGGGGACCTCTTCCTTATATTTCTCCTCTCGATCCCATTGTCAGCTCTCTCCAATCATAGCCCCCCCTTGAAAGCGATCTTACTATATGATTCGTCTTCTTCGATTCCATAAACCTAATTTAATCATTTTTACCCGTTTTTGTTTTTTATCTTACACTGCTCACCAGCATTTGTAAAAACAAATATGGCATCATTCCGATATTTGATACGAGAGCTTCTACCATTTGTGTGTGTATATAGTTTAGCTTTCAAAACGGAACCTTAAACCCTAAACTCATGCCGAAAAATAATTGAAGTACAACCATACATATAATGTCGGAAAGATGTCATTTTTTTTTTCCAAATGTTGGTGAACAACTGAAGATAAAAAATATGGGTAACAATAATTAAATTAGGTTATAGATCCGAAGAAGACGAATCATATTGTAAGTTCTTTACAAAAAAAAAAAACATTTTCATCAGTGCAACTTTGTGTGTGTGTGTGTATATATATATGCATAAAAAATACAGATATTGTTGAGTCCTACAGTATCATATTAAGACCAGCTAGGCTGACTTTGCCAAGTGGTAAGCATGACTCGCAAAAATATGTGTATATGTTGACTTTATCTCTTATTCGTTTTTCCCTCTCTTCTTTCAATTTTTGCTTATATGCTTAATTGATTTTTATTTTTAATAACCCCAAAGGGAGGAGGGGGGTCCATTATAAATAACATTACGGCAGCTCACCATTATTATTATTATTATTATTATTTTTAATTTAACAAAATCAGGGCTGAGTAAAGTGGCAAAATAGCAAAAGTACCCTTACTTTGCTACAAAGACTTCATGGTATACCCTTCAAAACCCTAAAATTTTAGAAAAAAAAAATAAAAGGAACAAAAAACATAATTAACCCTCTCACAAAAGTAACGTGATACTCCTCTCTTCATTTTGAATTCACCTCTTTTGTTTTTATTATTTGACAACTCTTCATTTCTTTCTTAACTTTTTCTCTCCACTCTTATCTTTCTCTCAACTCTTCCATTTTCTCTCTTCTCATTTCATTTGTATATATAGAAAAACAAACGAAAAATGATTATTTCGTTGAGCATATCTTCACCGACGATCTCATATCTTCTTCTTGAGCCGGTCTAAGACAGAACAAATGACAAGAACTGAAGGTAAGCTCATTAATACAAGAGATTGGTTCGATACATAAACTTTGTATTTTGTGTTTGTGTTTTATGATTTTGAGAGTGAATCGTGTGGTTTTTTTTATAAAAATGAGATAGATGCATAGCAAATCTGTCGAAGAATATGCAAGAGGCGCATATTTAATGCCAAATAAATGTTTGGAGCAATAATGGAACAGATTGACAAAGGTACGTTACATTGGTTACACCGTCTAAAATTTAATTTTGGTCACACTGGTCACACTAGTCACACTGGTCACACCGTTTAAAATTTGTTTTGGTCACACTGGTCACACTAGTCACATTGGTCACACTAGTCACATTGGTCACACGGTCACACTAGTCACACTGGTCACACCGTTTAAAATTTGTTTTGGTCACACTGGTCACACTAGTCATATTGGTCACACTAGTCACATTGGTCACACTGGTCACACTGGTCACACTAGTCACACTGGTCACACCGTTCAAAATTTAGTTTTGGTCACACTAGTCATATTAGTCATATTGGTCACACTAGTTACACTAGTCACACTGGTCACACCGTTCAAAATTTAATTTTGGTCATACTGGTCACACCGTTCAAAATTTAGTTTTGGTCACACTGGTCACACCGTTAAAAATTTAGTTTTGGTCACAGTGGTCACAGTGGTCACACTAGTCACACTGGTCATTTGGGCACACTGGTCACACTGGTCACACCGAAAAATTTTAAATTTCACGCGAAAAATTTAACTTTTTGTGGTGGAGGGAGTTTTAAAAATTTTAAAATATTTAAATTTTTTCCTAGGGAACCGAAAACTGTTCTCTCTCTTCTGTTTCTGTCATTGGGACCCACACCAATGGGTATTATGGGAATAACATAATTATAAGGGTATCTTTTGAACTAACTTTTTTTTTATTTTTGCAGGGGTATGCCTTGAATTCTTTGTAGCATAATAGGGGTATTTTTGATAAAAGCCCGAGTAAAGTACGTGTGTGCTCCGCATCGCAACCTCGCTCTCTCTCACTAAAAAGTAAAAACCATTGGCCATCGGTGAATACGGGAAAAACTCGTTGAAATAAGTTGTCGTCCAATCCCGTCACTCTCTTTGTTTAATTATTCCTCAAAATAACTATATATTATTGTCCAACAAAAAATATCGCAGCTAATTAAGATCAGGGAGAGAAATAAAACAAAACTATAATAGATATATAGACACGTGTTAAATAAATGGGTTTACACAGATCTAAACCAACGTCTATTGGTCGGCGTCTAAATAATTGTTAAGGAGTTCTGAAATGACAGTTTGCATTAATTATTCCACCAAATAAAGTGTTAAAACATGGAAATGCCAGCGAATTCCCCACGCATTCTCGCCTCTTCACCAACCTATATATATACATATACACACATACACAAAACCAGAAGTCACTGATACATAATACAGCACAAAAGAACTCGAGTTCTTGAAAACTCATGGAGGGCAACCATCAAGAAAACACAAAACCTGAAACGACGCCGTTCCAGGTCTCGATCGTATTGCCGGAGAATCCGTCACCTTCTCCTTCACCGAGAGGGTCTCCGGGCTCTTCGTCTTCTCCGAGACCCGCTAACTCACCAGGCGGGTCTCCAGGACACGCGAAGCGGGCGAGCGGGTCGGGCAGGCACCCAGTGTACAGAGGAATACGCCTTCGGAGTAACAAATGGGTTTCCGAGCCCCGGTCCCGGAGATGGCGGCAGCGGCCTATGACGTGGCCGCACTCGCCCTCAAGGGCTCGGCCGAGGCGGCACTCAACTTCCCCGACATGGTCTCTTCGTACCCGACACCGGCATCCACTTCCGCCGCCGACATTCGCGTGGCCGCAGCCAGAGCCGCTGAGTTGAAGAAACCTAACCCGGACCTCGCCGAGGCGGAACCGGATCGACCCGGATCGGCGGCGACGGAGTTTGTTGACGAGGAAGAGTTGCTGAATATGCCGACTTTGCTGACGGATATGGCGGAGGGGATGCTCGTGAGTCCGCCGAGGATGCACGCGCCGTCGCGTCATGACTCGCCGGAGATTCATGAAGGCGACAGCCTATGGAGTTACAAGTGAAGCAGTTTTTAATTTCATTTTTATTTTTTTTGTATGCGGGATTGTTATTTTGGGGAATGCTGTTCAGTCCGTTAAGTGGGTATTAAAATATCAAATGCGATTATAAGAATAATAATAATTAGGATTATGTGTTGATGATGTTAGGTTCTTTACAATCTCCTTACATTGTTAATCTCCATTTATTAAAAGAAATCAATGGAGATTAATCTCCATATATATATATGAGAAATAAAGAAAAAGTTTAAACGATTAAAACAAAGAGAAGCAGTAAATCACTCACACGTGACTCATCCCTATACATACACGTGCGTACTTGTCCTCGTTGCGTACACGTGATAATTTTTTTTTTGGTTGAAATTTGAATATATGATTAAATGACTCCCCAGTGCGTTTAAAACTTTGCATGTGATTTATGAAATATTTTTTTTGAGATCTCATAGGAGAAGTACGTCGCTTGTTTTCTTAGTATTTTTTTTATAATCCGGAAGATCACCGAATATTGACCCAACTACATCTACTAAAAAAATCGAAAAAATCCGGATAAATATCTTTTCCTACATTTGAGTTTGAACCCAAAATAAGAGTATGTTTTGCATATTGTCTTACCATTAGACCACCCAAACTTGGGTTTTATAAAATAATTTTTATGCCTCCTCCAATGAATATCCGATCAATAATAATAATAATAATAAGGAAAAATCGTCAAAAAAATCCTATACTCTTAAGATGTCGATAAAAAAAACCCTGTACTTTTTTATTACCAAAAAATCCCTATATTTATACTTATTCATCGAAATATATATGCACTCTTTAAATGTTAGACAAAAAAATCATGTACTTTTTTTTTTATTACCAAAAAACTCTATACTATATTTATTCGCCGAAATATACCTATACTTTATAAATTATAGTAAATAAACCTCTAAATGCAAACGTGAAAAAAATGCGGTCAAAAACCTGTTCGAATCTAATCCAACCGATATATACCCGAACCGAATCGAACCGATTAAAATAATATATCATATTGGATATGAATATTTCAAATCCGAAATAATCGAACTCGAAATAACCAAACCGAATCCGACCAATATAAATCCAATCTGGTATATTTTAGATTCAATTATTTTTTATTCGGTTATTTAAACAAATATGGTATTTAAATAAATACAATTATTTCGGGTTCGGTTTATTTCGGATTTGAAATATTCATATCCAATCTGGTATATCATTTTAATCGGCTCGATTCAGTTCAGATATATATCAGTCGGATTTAGTTCGGTTATTTCAGATTTAAAATATTCATATCTAATATGGTATATTATTTTAATCAGTTCGATTCGGTTCGGGTGTATATCGGTTGGGTTAAGTTCGGACAGATTTTTTACCGTATTTTTTTGGTGTTTGCGTTTAGGGGTTTATTTGTTAGAATTTATAAAGTATATGTATATTTCGGCGAATGAATATAAGTATAGAGTTTTTTTGGTAATATAAAAAGTATATGGTTTTTTTGTCTAACATTTGAAGAGTACAGGAATATTTCGGCGAATAAGTATAAATATAGGGTTTTTTGGTAATAAAAAATACATGGTTTTTTTGTCGACATATGAGAAGTATAGAATTTTTTTGGCGATTTTTCCTAATAATAATAATAATAATAAGATCTAATTTTGACTCCTTAACATCAAATCTAATCAGGAGAGAGGAAGTCGGGAGAGAGGAGACCTCCTGTCGCCGTCGCCAGAGATCTCGTCTGAACCCTAGCCCACTATCAACCCTATGGGTAGGCGAAAACAACAGCCATTTCCACCCCTTTCCTCTACCGTAGCCTTTTCCTCTATCGTTGTTGCTACCGTCAGGCAGAGATCTTCCATTGCCAGGCGTGATCTATATCACCTACACCTAATCGTCGATCTTCATCCAGGAGAGATCAATTCAACAGTCCATTCCATCAGCCTTTGCGAAGCACGATATCCCCAAAGCTCCGATTGAATCAGTCACGACAACCGCGATGAGTCTGAAACCCCCTAATCCTCCATGTTTCAACCCAAAAAATTTTCCCCCTCTACCCACCCCCAATTCACCTCTCCACCGTAATCCACCCATAACCAAGGTCACAACCCAATCTTCAGACCTAAACCAAGATACCGATGCTGAGAAAGGAAAGGATTTGGCCATGTCGAAGACAGATGCTGCTTTATCTGAAGAGACTCTAGATGGTCCCTCACTTTCAGAAGCTCCATCGATTCAGATGGATTCTGTAGATGAAACTCTTCCTTGTGAGAAATCTGTGAAGTTTGGGATAGAGATACAAGGAACTTCCCATAACGTTACTTAGCTTGCGAAACAATTGTTGCCCTCTTGGACGAGTAAAGTTAAAGGTCCTAGTTATAAACTCAACCGTGTAGCGGAAGTCACAGTCTCTACGATGGGGAAGAGATGTGTAAGGATTCCCAATTCGGCCGCCGAAGCTGGGGTGAAAGAGCATCAAGATTATGTAGTATGCTCCTTCTATGGAAGTCTACCGAAAATGTCAAAAAAATTTGCAATGCTAACTTTTCTATGGGGGAAAGAGCGCCGTTTTGGAGATGAACAAGTTATCATAGAATGCAGTGCTTGTGCTGATTCACTCTGCCCGTATTCGATAGGCAGTCGTGGAGCAAGAGTTATGGTATGTCGAGAACCATATGTTTTTTTGTTAGGCAATGGGCTATCGGTTTCGCGAGGGAACCACCATCCCTGAGAAAAGCTCCTATTTCGGCTCATCTAACAAATTTCCTGTTGCACCTCCTTACCAAAGAGGGCATAAGTTATATTGCGGGAGTTATCAGTGAGCTATTGAGTTATAAGCCTCTTACAAATATTAACTCGGTAGATGTGAAGGTTGAGATTGATTTAATAAAGGAGTTACCCTCAGAGGTTGAGATAGAGCTAGAGGATGGTTCGGTAGATCTCATTGATGTGTTATACAAGTGGATACCGCCAAAGTGTCAGGCTTGTGGGGAGTTTGTGAACAAATCCAAGAAGTTCGAATATAATTTTGGCTTCTCGGGATGATGAGTCAACAAGGAGATTTTAGGGTTACAAAGAAGGTTAAGTAATGAAAAGAAAATTCTCTTCTTAATTTCATTGTACATACGTAATTTGTACGTATATACTGATAGGTAATATTAAAGAAAAAGGAATGTATATGAATGACTAAATATGAACAAGGATATGTAATATCTTAAGACACAAGAAAAGAAAATCATGGTTGTTCTTCGACAATCATGGATGTGAGTGTTCGTCGTGTCTTCCGAAGATCCAGTCTCTCCCGTGATATCGTCAACATTCCCCCTCAAGATTGGCCGAGAAAACTCAACTAGGCCAGTCTTGGAGAGGATGTGGTTGAGTACAAACGAACTTGTTGCCTTGGTAAAGATATCCGCGAGTTGATCTTGACTTCGAGCGTAATTTGTCGTGATGAGTCCTTGAGTGATCTTCTCCCGGATGAAATGACAATCAATTTTGATATGCTTTATTTGTTCATGGAACACAGAATCGGTGATACGTGTGTACCGAGTCTAAAATCAATAACCCGATTCACAACTCACCGCAAGGATACGGATCGTCGTAACACGGGGCCGAACACAAGGACCAGTTGCTAAATCCAAATCTCAATCAAAAATAGATCAAAGCAAGCAAGCAAGTGATGGTGGAAATATGTAGAATCTATGGAAAACGAAATAAGAAAGCAATGAAAACGAGTAATCTATCAAACAAGGATGACTACGGGTGTCGGGATCGTATTCGCGTGTATGGGTATTTACTAAGCATGTGAGAATAACGACATCGTACTTGTATTCGGGAATCATCAAGCAACAAAAATAGAGAATTCACCTCTCGGTCTACTAACTCACTACCTAGAATAACTCGTCAATCTCTCGATCTATTCAAGTTAACCCTAGATGCATGAAGAACGCTATCATCAATCCTAGATCGATGAAACCATATTCCTATGTGAATAATACGATCTATTTTATCGATTTTCATCCGAAGCCAAACCCATATTCCTATGTGATTCAGAATCTAAAACAATTGGCCAAGTGATCAGCAAACACCAATAGCCAAGAAAACACAAATCGATAAAACCGAAACCATAGATCGATAAACCGAAACAAGCATAGCGTCGAAATCCAAGTTAGGGTTCAAACATACCCAAAACACATATGAATCCCTAACCCATAGTCGTGGATCTACTCACGGTTCATAGAAAACAACAAAAAGCTCATAAAGAAAGAGATAAAAGAGAGGAAAGAAAATCTCATGCAGATGTGTAGTCTCCACGATCGAATCTTCCTTTTTCTTCCCGAAATCCTGTGAACTTCTATTCTTCTCTCCCCAAAAGCTCTCCAAAAATCTGTATCTAAGTGTTCTCTAAGAGTCTCTGCTGTATTAGGACGTGGCTAGGGCTTTTTTATAACCCTAGGGCGGCTCCCAAGAGTCCTATTCCCATTCTGATGCTGAAAATCGCGAAACAGGGTTTTAGACTGGATCCAGGCCGTTTCCAGGTGGATCCGGACCGGATCCAGATTCCTGGGCTCGAGCTCAGCTGTCTTGATTCGGACCGGATCCAGTTGAATCCGGTCCTGCACTGGCAGTTTTCTGGTCTTCACGATTTTGCTCATAACTTTCTGCTCCGGTGTCGGATTTACGCGATTTTGGTGTCTACGCGAAGCTCTTGAGGTGCTCTTTCCAATGGTACAATTTCGCACGATTTGGATCTCTGTAGAGAAAGTTATTGATGTCGCAACATGAGTATCTCATCCGGACTTCTCCTTTAACGCTCCAAATAGCTCCTTTTCGAGTCCAATCATCTTCGAAACGTGTAATCTGCAAAACTAAAGTATAACCGGGTTTTTGTGTCCTAACACACCTAGAATGTCTATGAATGCATGTGATTATCCTGTAAAACCTAGACAAACTCTTATCAAAATATAGAGAAAAATAGGAGTTATCAATCGGTTACTAATAACTCCTATTTTTCTCTATATTTTTATTTGACTTTGTCTAGATTTTACAGGATAATCACATGCATTTATAGGCATTCTAGAAGTGTTAAGACACAAAACCCGGTTGTGCTTTAGTTTTGCAGAG